AGGGCCTGTTTACATGAGTGAGGGTGCCCCTACATAGTAGGGTTACCCTAGCTAGTAGGGTGACCCTTCTCTATTGTAATTATACTGCGTGTTTACATGTGAGGTAGGATGACCCTAGGGGTAGGGTTACCCTACCTGAAAGGTAGGGTGACCCTACTGTGTAGGGACGAGTTTTGCCGCCATTAGCCCATGTAAACGCAAAACCTAGGGCTATCCCTAGGGGTAGAGCTATGTCCAGTCATACCGCTGACACACAGCGCAGGCATCTCAGCGAAACAAAATGGCGGACAGTGGAACAGCATCCACAGCTAGTGTTAGCTACAAACCAGGTGAATATTTTCGCCGTTACCAGCTTACAAAACTCGTTCCTGACTCGGAAGATAATGGAGAAGATGTTGATAGTTTTTTGGGAACCGAGAATTCTGCGGAGAACGTCGAAAATGTCCAGCAACTATCCAAAAAGAATCGAATTAACCGCCAAAACTTTATCTCCCGCCGTCATTTTGGTTGTTTTCCTTGCTGGGTGACCTGGCTATAGTGTGAGCCATCGCCCCTAGGGTTTCAAATTACCATGTAAACGCTCGGTATCTTCAACCCTACCAAGTAGGGTAACCCTATCCCCTAGGGGCACCCTCTTCCCATGTACACAGGGCCTAAGTGGAGTCCCGTGCGGAAGATCCTTCTAAAGATGAGTGGCACGTCTTGCTCAAGATCGTTGACACAAATGTAAAATAGATTCGGGGGCTGATTGTAATGTCATCTCCAAGTCGTTGTTTGATCGGCTTCCAGTGGATCCCAGACAGTCCTGCCAATGCAAAGCCAAACTAAAAGTGCATGACGGACGTCGAATCACACCTTGCGGCAAGGTCAGCCTAACTTGCGAGTATAAAGGAGAAGTCACAGCGATAGACTTCATACTTGTTGAGCAAGATCTACCATCCATTCTTGGATTGAGGTCCTGTCTCGATCTAGGCCTGATAAAGAGAATTTACCGCATTGAAGAAGAGAACCTGGAATCTGAATACGCAGACGTGTTTGAGGGCTTGGGTGAGGTCAAAGGCGTCCAGTACAAGATTCAAATTGATCCCAATGCCACCCCTGTTGTGCACCCTCCCCGTCGGGTTCCTGTGGCCCTTCGCGAACCTCTTAGAGAGGAACTTCAGAGAATGGAAAAGCTGGGAGTCATTAAGAAATGTCCAGAACCCACTGCCTGGGTACATAGTCTTGTTTTTGCTAAGAAGAAGAATAACAAACTCAGAGTGTGCATGGATCCTAGCGATCTCAATCGTGCTGTCATGCGCGAACATTTTCCCATGCAGACCGTGGAAGATGTGATTAGCAGAATGCCCAGTGCAAAAGTGTTCAGTGTCCTTGATGCTAACCATGGCTTTTGGCAGGTTAAACTAGCCACGGACAGTAACAAGCTAGGTACCTTTAACACCCCATTTGGCCGGTATAGTTATACACGTTTGCCATTTGGGATAGCATCGGCTCCAGAAGTGTTCCAAAATGTTATGTCTCATTTGTTTCAGGACATTGACGGTGTTGAGGTAATTGTGGATGATCTGGTTGTGTGGGGAAAAGATTTGGAGCAACATGATGTGAGACTTAGACAAGTGTTGGACCGGTGCCGTGAGCATAACTTCAAGCTTAACAGGGAGGAATGCCATTTTCGAGTATCCGAAGTTCATTATGTGGGCCACGTGTTGAGTGCAGATGGTGTTAAGCCAGACCCGAATAAAGTTGAAGCAATCATTGCTATGCCAATCCCAGCCAATCGTGAAGACTTACGGAGATTCTTGGGTGTGCTAACATATTCATCTAAGTTCATTCCAAACATGTCTCAGAAGAGTGCCCCACTTCGCCAGCTGCTCCAGAAAGATGTCTAATGGTCATGGGAACAAGTAGAGGATGATGCATTTACAAGCCTGAAAACTTCAATCTCATCAGCTCCAGTCCTCAAGTTCTTTGACCCGAAAGAACCAGTGACCCTTACTGTTGATGCAAGCTCAAAAGGGGTTGGTGCAGTCCTTCTGCAGAATGACCGCCCAGTTGTTTACGCATCCAAAGCCCGGACTCCCAGCCAAGAAAAGTATGCGCAGACGGAGAAGGAAATGCTAGCGAACGTCTTTGGGTGTGAACGGTTTCATGATTATTTGTATGGGCAACGGGAGATTACGGTTGAAAGCAACCATAAACTGTTGGAAGCAATCCTGAAGATCCATACATCCATACATCAATCACCCCTTCGCCTTCAAACGATGATTCTCAGGATTAAGCCTTACGCTGTTGAGGTTAAGTATATACCTGGCAGCAAACTGCCCTTAGCTGATACGCTCTCCAGAGCATGTTTATCCCACAAAGGTACAGACCAACCTCATGAGTTTGAAATTCATGTCCTGGACTCTGGAAATTTGTCGGAGACGATGTTTCACAAGTTGAGGGACGGAACTGAGAGTGACCCTGAACTTCAACAGTTGCAGAAAGTTTTCATGAGTGGTTGGCCGCAGACTAAAGTAGAGACACCAGTTGAGACAAGACCTTACTCGAACTACCGAGATGAAATGAGCTGCTACGAGGGGTTAATGTTCAAGGGTGATCGCATAACTGTTCCCCATAGCATGCGACCCGAAATACTTCAACGCATACACGCTGCTCACTTGGGGATAGAGAAGTGCAGAACGCGAGCCAGAAGTGCAGTGTTTTGGCCAGGTATCAATAGTGCGATCGACGAGTTGGTATCCAAGTGTAGTACCTGTCAGCAACACCAGCGAAGCAACCAGAGAGAGCCTTTAATTCCTCAAGAGGTCCCTGAGAGAGCCTGGGCGACAGTTGCAGCAGACATTCTCTACTATAAAGGGAGAGACTACCTGCTTGTAGTTGACTATTTCTTCAAATATCCTGAGGTAGCCCGCCTCTCCTGTAAGAATATTGTGAAGCAGTTATCTTGGCCATGAAAGATATGTTTGCACGTCATGGAATCCCTGAGAGGCTAATCGCAGACAACATGCCTTTCAATAGTGTGAAGTTTAAGGACTTTGCTAGTAAGTGGGAGATAGAAGTGGTAACCTCAAGTCCACACTACCCGAAATCAAATGGTCTTGTGGAAAGAAACGTACAGACCGTTAAGCAGTCACTAAGGAAAGCTGACGAGTCAAAACAGGATGCATTCCTCGCTTTAGTAGAGCTCCGTAATTCCCCTAGCAGTGGAACCCAGCAGAACCTCTTATGAGTAGAAAGCTTAGAACAAGACTGCCAACTTCCAAGAGCCTCCTTGAACCACAGCCTAGGTCTACTTCTCAGACTCGTCATAACCTGCTGACACGTAAACAACGTCAGAAAGTACTCTATGACCGCGGCACTCGGCCACTTTCCAAACTACACGAAGGCGAACCTGTGCGAATGAAGCAGGGACGGGAATGGACACCCGCAGGGGTCATCCGACAACACCAGACTCCTCGTTCGTACATTTTAGCGACCCCTGATGGAACCCAGATGCGTCGAAACCGCTTCCATCTACAATCGACCAAGGAAGAGGCATCTTCAGTCCCAAGCCCAGCATGGGTAGCAGGAGGCAGTGATGAATCAAATTCACGTGTGCAGCCAAGCACTGATGCTGGTATCAAAACGTCAGAGATGGAAGCACAGCCCGATTTCCCGCAAGAGTATCAACCCTTCAGAAGAAGTCCGCAGACCACCACAGGGTCTTATTGAAACTGCATAGTGATACTGCCAAGCTGATCACAAGTTTAAGCTAGAAGAACCTTTTGGGGTGATTTTGTAGTCGTACACACTCGGAACATTGTGGACTGTTAGAACCTTGTTTATTTATTAGAATCTCGTTTATGTTTTAACCTTTTTTAAAAAAGAGATGTCACGTTGGGACGTCATGCGTGACACGCATGCTCTATGACATTATTACATAACGGCTCGCACGTGGTTCTTGTTTCGCTTTTGGACTCGTATCTTTTGACAGTTATTGTACAATCTCTTGTAGATTTTGATCGAAAGAGGTTTCGCCGAGAGTACATACGGGTAACATACGAGTAACATACGGAACATACGGATACCTACGAATACATACGACTAACATACGACTAACATACGAGTAACATACGGGTACCTTCGAATACATATGAATACATACGGGTATAAAAATACGAAAAAATACGACTAAAATTCATACGAGTAAATTTTTATGCGAAGTAACGACAATTTAAGTAAAATATAACATGAGAGAGCAAAAGATATTTGTTATTTACTCGTCACGCATTACTTCCCCGACTGAGGAAAGACTGCGTTACAGGAGCAAAGATCTTTGATATTAAACTGGTGGTCAGGGGTCATGCCAGGTAATCCGATGTGCGCAAAAATTGGCCTGTCGCGCAGTGGATGGTCTTCACGCGTTCGATCTTTACCGTGCACTGAACAGATCTAGATTGAAGAGCGTAATACTAATTTAAAGATGACGCAGTTGAAAAAGGAACTGTGACGTAGATGTAACTAACAGTGGTAAGTGAAGTGTTTTACTACCGCAGATGATACCAAAAATCTGCTATAGTTTAGTAACATGAAAGATAAAAGCACATTTTTTCCAAACCATCGATTGCATTATGATTTACTGTGTAGATGTGTCAGATCAAGATCTCATAGCAAGAACCACATCTATTTTAAGAAACGCATTAAAGGAGCAATTTAAGAAGGGTCTTTCATTTAGAGGGGTTCTAGATGTTCTTCAGCGATTTCCTTTAGAGGCCTTTAAAGAATTAACATACAGTAAAGAGGCTGCTTTCACCCCTGAATACTTTGAATGTGTCTTTGAAGCAAATCTTTCTACCCAGGGTTCAAATGTAAGGGTGGCATAACTGGGAAAATTTTATTACCAATGTGTTCAGGGGAAAGGTTTCCAAAACTAGTTTCACAATTGCTGATGATACATTTCTAGAGACTGAGAGTACCAAGGTAATGAAGTAATAATGTTTACCACCAGGTCATATCACTTGCCAGTTATGGAATTAGAACATTAAGTACAAATTGAATTTGAACATGAGCCCCAAGAGGGCAAGAGAGTTACAGCAGACACTTTTGGCCAGTTCTAACTTTTCCAGTGTCACCTAGATACAGCTGGGATTTGAAAACATTTTGTAAAAACTTGGCAGAAGATATTATCTCATCGCCAGGCTTTGGATTTGTTTAGCCAGTTTTCATTGGACAATCTTGAGTTTAACTGGCCATGGTCAGAGTGAAAGACAAATGTTAAGTAGGGTATTGAAAAGGTAAAGGGAGTAATAAGACAGGCAACAACATTTTATTTCTGTTATTGTTATTAACCAACATGCATTATTGGAAATTGGATAACAATATTCAAAAACGTTGAAAACTTTAAATACTGGCTCGTTGCCTTTATGATGTACATGAGTTGGTGTGTGATAATACTGTTTTAAAGTTGAGAGAATAGTTTATCAACAACAAGGCACTTTTGAACTTTCTGTTGTGCTGCATTTAAAATAGTGTTATGATGTTTGATTTTCAATAAAGTTCTGGTTACTTTGCTCTATGTATAAGTTTCATTACGCTAGAAGTTTCTGTGTTGCAAATGGTAGCTGGGCCACACCCATTGACAGCTTTTACAACCTTAATAGACTGCCTGTTACCTGGCGGTTACAAGACAGGCTTACAAAATTGCAACTGAAAAATGCAAGTAGCCTACTTGCTATTCTTTGGACCTTTTAATTGATTGCTGTGATAATGGGTGCATGCATGACTATTGATGAAGAGAGAACAGCCAAATAGGTGTAAATAACAGTCATTCTATCACAGTGTTACAACCATATGCGTAGTAACGTTTTGTGTGTTTATTATTCAATCCTTTAACACTGGATCAGTTTACTTGTCACAATTGCTGAAGTTTATGATTGGACCCTCTCAGCCACAAATGTACAGGTACATATGTAAAGATCTATCCCATACCCTTCATCATGGGCAGTGGGTTACCTGCTCCAGTAAGTCTTCAAAAGCCCTGTCTGATAATGGATTTGCAATGTCTGGCACAACAAGTTCTTCACTGGAATCTCCTTGTGGCAGTGGTCCTTCCCAGTCAAAACCATATTGACTCCAGTCCTGGTATATAGAAGTGTTCGAGCTGTTCACGAGGTATGTCAAATTTTGGTCTCCCCTTAAAATCTGTTTTCATTACTGGAAGCGAGCTTGAGCAACAAATTTCCTCATCCTTGTCAATTATAGAAGGCATCCGTTGAGCCTCAAGTAAATACCTGAGAAGTGAATCTTCTAAATTGCCACCTACTTTCAAGAGCAGAGCACAAAGCCAGTCAATCTTGTACCTTGCAAAGTCGATGTTGACGATGTAATCTCTGCTCTGCAACTTGTTTATGACATCATTCAAGACTGCAAAGATATTCGTGGAGACCAATTCAAACGGAGACTGGTGTTGGCCTTCCATATCATTACCTTTTTCACCATTTGCAAGAATAAGTCTTTCAAAGAAAAAGTACGATAAGCCATCCCACGAGCCTAAAATAACAACCGCTGACCTTTTTATCCCAGTGGTCACGTGACGTCACTTCAAGTGTAAACCGCTGACTAGTTAGACGTACGATAAACCATCACCGGTTACGATATAGCGCTATCGGGTACGACATAGCAGCATATGGTACGATGAAACGGCATCACTGCTACGACGTAACAATACACCGTGTACGATATAGCATAACCGACTACGATATAGCATTGGCCGTTTTCACACTAGAGGACGGACAAATCGTCGTCCGTCTTATGAGCGCAAAGAGAACAGGCATTAGGTCGTGTTGTAAAGCAAATGGCTGCTGCCATGTTGAAACTTCACATAAAACCGCGCTCTGTTGCTAGTCCCATTTCCTCGCGGCGAGAAAATCGAACATTTCACCGTGTGATATGAATTTAAGTCGTACTGTCGTCGACTTGTTCGTCTCGACGGACAAATCGTCTTCAAAAACTCGTCTTTCCAGACGGCCAAATATCAGACGATTTGTTCGTCGAAAAATTTGTTCGTCCCGTTTTCACATCAGACGATTTGTTCGTCTAAGACGATTTGTCCGTCCAGACGGTTTGTCCGTCCTCTAGTGTGAAAACGGCCATTATCGGGTACGATGAGACGGCATCTGTGCTACGATACAACAACACACAGGATACGATGTAGCATTATCGGGCACGATATAGCAGCATGTGGTACGACATGATGGCATCGCCATTACGATAAGACAACATACCAGGTACGATATAGTACCTCCGGCTACATAACCATACAGTACGATATAATGCCTCACCGCACACGATCTAATAACAATTTTGTCCAGTCTTCCCCTCCATACAAAGCTCCTCTTATCGTGAAGCCAGTACAAGCTGGTCACCAGCTTGATTGTCCGTGCAGGTTTTCAAGGCTGTCGGGATCTGCCAAGATACGATTGCCGTGGCCGAAGATCTCGAATGCCTACAAGAATATCTTGAGGAAATCAAAAGAAAATTTCAGAGAAGAAAGGGACCAGGTGTAAGCCCCGCAGCAGCATATAATAGCAGGAGGACACCTAAAGAGCAAGGTATGAAGCCAAACGAGTTCCAAAAGGCTTTTAGAAGGAAACCAATGGACACGTCACAATCGTGGGTGCCAACCACTTCTGCGATGTCCAGTCAGAGTGTCAACAAGACAGCAATGCAGGAGACGCCCTCCTCAATACATCAGCAACAACAAAGTTACTGCAATTTACCACAGCCGCACTGTGGACAGGAAAATTCATCTGCCGTGGTGTTACAAGAACAACTCCTTTATACAGCTTGGACAACGACGCAACAGCACCAAAGTTTTCCACCTGTGAGTGCTACATTCTATCAACCGCAACAACCACAATGTTGTTCGTCTTCGTCAACAACAATTCCACAACAACAACAGTCCCCGGCTTCTTTT